TAACAACTAATGATTATTTTTCTGCTATTCTGTATATAATTCATTCATAAAATACGCACGAATTCAGGGTAAAGAGAGGCAGAGAGCAATAGCAGCGGCACGTACCGAATGTTGACAGCACGTGGCCATCATCTAACCCGGCAACAGAACCGCACCATTCCCCTCGGACACCCTAGAGGACGACAAGAAAAGCGGCGTCAGTCTCTATGAAAAATTTCCCAAACAAAGTCAGGAGAATTTCCCACTGTTTTCCCATCAGAGAGCACACCAGAGAGTGAGAGAGACGCATCAAGAGAGCGTGAAGCTGACGCCAACGCCGACAGCAGCTTCGGCTGCGACTGTTTTCCACTTACTTTTCAGGCCCAGTGGACCAGTTTGGAAAATTCGCACAATCAGTTTGTTTTGAAATTTTGCCGCGTTGCGTTCGCCACGAAAAGAGTGCTCCTCCCGCACAAAACAAAAAAATTATTCGAACAAAGATCAAAGTTCATTATAAATATCGAAATACAAATACTCGTCTCACAGTTCAAAAAAAATTATTGAATTAATATTACAACAAAAATATAAAAATTATTCTAAAATAAGCTGATCGATCGTTAAGTGTTAAATAGTTTAACCAATTATCCACACCTTTCATGGTTGATAAAATATTAAAATAAATGTGTGTTTTGTGAGCAAAACTTAATAATGAGATGGGGAAATACGTACCTATATACATATGTGCAAAATGTTTGTTTGCCATTCGGCGGCATCTGTCAACTGCAGTTCTTTCCATAAATAAATGAAAAATCAACAACAAATTACTGCTGAAAAAAACAAAAACAAAATAAAAAAGTATGAATAAAAACCGAATGCAAATACAAAAATAATGAGAAAATATTTTTCAAACACGTGTGTCATCAGAGTTTGTGCTTTTGTAGAGAGATTAAAGTTAAATTTTAACAATCATCCATCAATATTTATCAAAGGAATCTAACATTTTTCATTGTGAGAAGTTCTTTTAAGCCACAATTTGCGATCATTGGAATCTATAAAAAGGTAGGCTGTGGATTTGGTAGATCAATGTCGTCTTTTGATTTTATTTTGTGCACTTATTACTTCATCAGAAGTAAAGGTAGAGGAAGAAATTAGAACACCTTTGATTAAAAACTATTTTTTAAGAAATTTTACCTTTTAAACCTTAAAACCCTTTCACCCAATTTTCTATTGTCACCAATTTGAATGAAGTTTGCGGGCTGCCTCGAACTTCCCAGAATTTCGTCAAAGGAAGTTTCATTTGCCCGAAAAACCCATTTTCGTAGTTTTCTTTAGTTGCCGCCTAGATTTCTATTGTTAAAGCTAAACGCCCGACACGTTTCGTGCTAGTTTAATTAAGCTAAAACGGAACAATAAGTTAAATACAAAGAAAACACGGCACGCAATGGTTTCATGCAAATGAAAATTAATTTTAAAAAATAGCTTCAAGGGCTTTTGCAGGTGTAAGATATAGGTGTTCCTCTTCGCATTACCAAATGGAAAACGAAAACAGTGTGTGGAAGGAAGAACCGCCGGAAATCAAAGCAAAGCTAAATTCGTGTAAAAAAAAGGTGCCCACCCCAGCTCTCTCATTATGTAATTAAATGTAAATTTTCACGAACACGATTACTAATGAAAAGCAAATAGCATTAAAAAGAACAATTTCCAGTAAGTCACACAGCGAAATGACAAATGGGGAAAACCGCCCAAGGAATACAATTTTTTGAGAGGGATCAAAGCGAAACGAAACGAAGAAAATTAACTTAAAGTTAGGTCCGTACCTCAACGGTATCCGTCCTTCCTTTTGCGTATCCCGTATCACAGATCTAACCCCCCAAAAACCTTTTGTGGACCGACTCACACATGATTACTCACATGTCAGCAAAAAGGGAAAAATAAGATTTATTGCCAAGAAACCGAAAACCAAATGTTTTCCATTTCTCTTTGTTTTCGGTTACCTTTTGTTTTCATTTCCCTCCTAGTACCTAGGGTTTTCCTATTGCACCTTTCCACCTTTTCATGTTCATTTGTTTTTCTTTTTTGGTCGCTTGTCAGGAAATTAAACTATTAGGCTTTTTTGCTACTGTTGCTCCAGCAGCAGTAGCTCCTGCTGATGTGCGTAAACTTTTAATGAGACATAAAAGACATGGCCGAAATTATGCCTAGATCTAGGGACAGACAGATCCTGCTATCAGGACCACAGCTGTCATTAAGATGAAGCGAATGCCATTTTCGTGTGGGACCCGTAGACAAATTCTGCGAGATAAGTGGAACGGCCGTAAAAGTTTAGTGGACCAAATGAACATAAACTGCCGCTGATTACCTGAAAGTAATTCTATTTTGTTTTGTCGCTTTTCTAACTTTTCTTGAGGTGCTTGAGCCATGTATGAGACTGTTTAAGCCAGCTTTGAGTCTGTTTTGTGCCCGCTTTAGAGGTCTGTCAGCAACAGGCAGCAAAGTTATCACACTTTTGGCTCAAGTGCGGGACATTATTATAGGGGTTTGGGTAAAGGTACAGATTTAAGCAATGAAATAGGTGCGAAAGATGGGTTAGTGGATGGGTCTTAGTCTCAAGGATATCGTTAATGGCTTGCTTTAATTTGAATAAGTATAGTATAGAAAACTGTAATCAACATTTATAAATTTATTTTCGTTATTCACAAAATTTCTTTTTAATTTTTTTTTCATTTATTTATTCTTTCATTCATTCATTCCATATGTTTTGTATTTTTTATTCACTTCAGTAGATCTTGTTCCATTTATTATCTACTTTTGTTTATCGCCGATACACAAATGCAAAACTGATTTACAAAAACACTTTCCACAATTTATTGATGGATATATTCATGTCTTTCAACTGCAAAATTTACATTGCTCATATGGCTATCGATCAGGCATGTCCGCATGGACCTACTTGTACGTATATCAAGATTCAATCAACACAAACCATATTTTATATGGCAATCAAATTTCTTAAATATTTTGACCATCCCATCATCGTCTTCATGGTAGACTGGGGCGTGCGGCAAGCAAAAATAAATAAATTCAAGCACAAGTATCAGCATTTATCTCTCCCGGGGGCCTCATTCCATTCTATTTATCCAAAGATATTTGTACTCGTTATAGATTTATGTGTGTACGTATATATGTACGCAATCTGAAACAATTGAACAAAAAAACCAAGCACAATTTTGAGCCCAGAGCGTGGATATTGCATTCAATTTAAATTCATTCATGGCAATACCCCACACCATCCCCTTCCATATCCATAGCCTTATGATTTGACTATATAATCGCCTTAAAATAAAGTGGTATATTTTATGACTGTTCCCCAGAGGTGCAAAAAATTTAATGCCCCAAACAACTTTTCTATAAACTTTCAAGTTAGATCCAATCAAAAATCGGATGCATAAATTCAGAACAAACAAATGGAGAAAAAACGGCCTGAAGATTGGAAGTGTTGTGTACCGTGTAATTTAATTTTCTTATTAAATTATATATTATAATATTTATTATATCAACAAAAAATCTGTTGATATTATCTTAATGAATAGGCTGATTTGATATAGCAAACATAAACCTTGAAATCTTTGTCTAAGAAATAGAATCTAAATTATTCTAAAATGGTTATTTAATACTTTACAAAAATCAAATAGCTTTAAAATCTAAGGGATACAATTTTTATACATTAGTTATGGTATTTATGAAATATATATCCCGGTAGTTTTTATTTTAGAATTTGTATTCTCCCTTTGTTTTTTTATAGAACATTTTCATCTTGTTAATTTGTTTAACAGCAAAAATGTGTTTTAGTTGGGCATTTCTGAAATGCCAAAACAACAAGTTGTCTGTGGGGTTGGGGTTGGTGTTGTGGTGCCGGTCTGGCCCTATGCTTCAGACATCTATCTATCCGTTTGATCGGTGAACTGACGCCAGCAATTAATCGTCTTGCCTGCTGCTGACTTTGAGCAATCGTTCAAACATTCTTATGTCAAACGGGTAGTTGAAAGATATACGAGTATGTACGGGTACGCCTGCCTTTTGGCTAATTGATGGCTTATCATTTAATTGGCCGCTGTGTAAATTGCAATCACGAGCAATCGAGCATCAACAATCAATAAATATTAACAATAAATTATTCAATAATTGCGACCTCTTGCTGCTGCCCGTCAGCAGGTTTCCCATGATTTGTCATTTCGTTCAGCCTCCTTATTTTCCATATACTTGTATTTAAATTCATTTCCCATCACAATTTGTTGTGTGTTTCCGCTGGCCATCAAACATTTTCATTTTATTTTATTTCACTTTTTTTCGCGCTCATTTGTGTTTCCTTTTTTTTCTCCGTTGGATTTGTGCAAATATGCAAAATGATTGACAGCACAATTAAGACACCGCCAACGAGGGAGTCTGTCTGGGGAAGAGCATGGGACACGAGGCATGAGGCATGAGGCAGAGACAGAGACAGGGGCACGATGCAACCTTATATGGCTGCAAAAGTTTTCATTATTCAAACGCGTCACAGAACATATGTAACAACAGACTATGGATGCTTAATTTGAAATGGAAACGGTTTCTGTTGCAACGAAGATGGGATGCTCTTCAAAGACAAACGATTAAGAGCCTAATGCGATGCGGAAATGAAATTTAAGTATTACTCAGCTAAGAACCATCATACAATGCATGTTGGATACACTTCTTAGTGAGAAGTCATTCACTTCTAGCAAAACATTTTAAAGTCTTATTCAAAACAACTTTGGAGACAAAACTTTCCCGGTAAACTTTTCACTACTTCTAAAATCCTTTAGTATTCAAACTTGTTGGCATGCAGAAACTTTCTTTGACACGAAAATGCATTCAATATGCAATGGCACAGCTGTAAAGCATCTGCCAACCTCTTTTTAAAATAGATACAAATCTCTAATGAGGTAACAACTCTCATAGGAGGCATACCCCCTGGCATAAATTCATTACTCGATGTTTTATTTAGTCTTTCCACCATAGAGTTTTTAATCAGTAACTAAGACTCGTATAAATTATAACAGAAAAGTTAAACAACATATATTCAAAAAATGGGTGCTACTAATAGTAAGCCTCAGTCTGCAGAAATGGTCAATCCCCATCCATTCCAAGTCACTCGTGAGGTGCTGGAGCGCCTTGACCAGGCCAGGGAGGAAATGGAAAAGACTCCAAAACGATCTGCCCTATGCGAGCAGTGCAAAAAGCAGTCCCTGTCGGCTTCCAGTTCGGGTGATGCTCCATCCACTTTGGAGTACCAGTCGAAGGATGATCCGGAGGTGGAACAAGTGGCCTGGCCCTGGAGAAAGCGCGCAATGGAGATGGAGGAGGCCCAATTCGAAGAATCATTGAAGCGTGTAAAAGAGATCTTTGGTACCCAGGTGAAGTGGTCGCAGGATATCGAAGGCGAAATCAACGAGATGGAGAAGCAACTGACCACTTGCTACAGGGAGAATCCCTACGAGACCCTCCAGTGTGAACCGCTGGCCAAGCAGTATCATTCATTCATTTTTACCAACCACTTCAAAGCAATCTCAAAGCTGGAACCGAAAGATACGAAGCCGAAATCGTCTCGGGTGCCCAAAGAGCTTGTACAGATCGGAGCTAATAAGGAGAACAGCTCGGAGACATTTTTGGATTAAGAGAACAGACCAAGAACGATGCAAGTCCCTGACATATTCCGACTATTGATGCCAAAACACTGTCCAATCACATTCAATCATATTAATTATAGCTGAACACATAAATTTGACCAACCAAACACCACATTGCACAGATGACTTCAATTATACTCGCATCAGTTCTATTTAATTTTAAATAAAATGTGTTAAACGCAAGCAATTGGCTTAATTCAACGCAAATTAGTTGCAGTCGGTTGAGAATAATTTTATTTGGCTTATGCCCGACGTGTAGGCCGTTCTTTTATTAGCCTTGGCTGATTGCCAGCAAACACAATACGTTGTCAAACAAATGAATGACAACAACATGGCTGAAATGAAAGCCAAAAAGTGAAATGTGCATAAATAAAAAACAAACACGCGTTGGTTTCTTTCACTCTACCTCTGTCTTTCTCTCTCTGGCTCTCGCTGTCTGGCTGTTTGCTTATGTATAACTATTTCTGTGCACAACGTGACGTATGCGCAATGTTTCAGTACAGAAGCGACTTGAAGCTTTTCATACCTGACATTTTAAACGCATCTCAGGTGAAAATGCTCTCCTAAGTGAGTGGCCCGGCCCCTGACTGGGAGAAGAGACAAGTGCAGTACCAGGTTTTGGCAAAGGACGAGACTTGGCTCTGCGGCTGCGGCGAGCCTTGAACTACTTTGCGCCACAATGTCTGGCTCAATGTGCATTAGTGCAACTTGCACTTTCCACCTACAAAATGAAACGGCTGAGGGCACAAACAGGACGAGGGCTCTGCCTCTGTGGCCATAGGATATACGGATTTATACTCTCAGTGCATGGAAGCCACCTTATGAATGTTTTTAAGTTGAAAGTTGGGTTTGCTTTCGCTTTGGAAAGTATATGTGCTACATTTTAAAATTAAGATGAGGTTTGAAGACAAGTATCAGTATCAGAATTAAAGTCTACATTACAAAAAAAAACCCTATCCTAAGAGTATTCCTTCTTCTGGTTAGGCACAAAACTTTCTTACACACAAAAATAAATTCCAAATGCAATGGCAAGGCCCTAAATCATCTTCTAACTTCTTGCGGGAGGCCATAGTTGTTTCTGCTTATTTTACCCGTACTCAAAAAAGAGTTAAGGGGTATATTAGATTTTTGGTAAAAGTGGATGTGTGCAACGCAGAGAAGGAAACGTTTCCGACCCCATAAAGTATATATATTCTTGATCAGCATCAATAGCCGAGTCGATATAGCTATGTCCGTCTGTCCGTCTGTCCGTCCGTCTGTCCGTCCGTCCGTCTGTCCGTCTCGATGAGCGCCTGGATCTCAGAGACTATAAGAGCTAGAGAAACCAAATTTGGTTTCCAGACTCATGTGATATCACACTGCTACAAGTGTATTTAAAAATTTCGCCCCGCCCCCTTCCGCCCCCACAAAGAACGAAAATCTGTGGCAGGCACATTTTTAAAGGTACGATAGAACTAAACTAAACTAAACTAAGTATGGTAGAGAATGACCATAGCTACCAGATTGCCGAATCTGAATTAGATCGGATCATAATTATAGCCAGAATGAAGAAATTAATTTTCTGTTGGTTCCTCCACCGCCCCCTGCAAGAGACCCGTTACCTATCTCTTTCTCGCTCGCACACTCTGCCGCGTTCAGTGCGCGAGCAACCCCTAGCGGAGGAGATGTAGAATCTAAATGGAACATGTACAATCTACATGTTAGATGTAGAATATACATTGTAGATGTAGATAGCAGATGCAGCAAAAAAAAATTTTTTTTTCATTCTACAATTCTAAATAATCATATGCTCAAAATGTATATACTGACTGAGTGCGGGTATAAGTAGAGTCGCGTCCCCAGAAGCGACTCATTTTTACTGATTTTTCACACACATACGAGTATATATAATCATTTTGGGCCTTACACATTCCGCCATAAATCTGCTGAACAAATTTTCTCACATAGCATAGCCGGAATGCCAGAAGTTCTTAATGATGTTGTTTCCCGTTTTGGGGAAATTGGATTTTGAACATTAAATCAGCATCGCACACCTAGAGCAAACACAGAATAGTTTTGCAATTATTTATGCAAATTTAATTCAAGCCAAGAAAAGTGAATACGAGAGAACCTTTCATTTGAGTCTCTCGATGACACACAAACCTCATCGTTCCCTCTAGAGTTAAGTGGCTGCGAGGTCAAGTGGCAGCCGGCTATTAGCGCCCAATGACAGAATCGTTCGCCAAGCGATATCTGATGCGTTTTTGATTGAGCTATTGGATAAACCAGGCAAATAGTTGAGAGCTGTCAGTGTCGCCCAGCAGTCGCATTTTAAATGCAATTTCCATGTAGATTTTCTATATGTGGTACTCGTATTTCTGGCTGATTGGCAGCAGTTTCCACAGTTGTGTGGAAATTGATTGCGAAAAAGTGAAACCAATTGAAATATGCACCAATAAAATATGTTTATTTTAATTTACTTTATCTGTGACTAATGCTTGGACAGTTTTAGATAAAAGTGATGCTAAAGGCGAACGTTACGGCTATAAGTTACCCTCTTCTCACACTACACTGACCATCGAAGTATTTATACGCAAGTTGGCTACGAAATTTTGTTAAATAAGTTTGAAACTCTACGACGATGTCACAAATGTCAATATATATGTACTTTATTGATTATTTTATCTGCTTGAATCACATACACCCACGAGCTCTACTCTGCAGGGTACAATACCAAAAATATGATTTCATTTGTTAAAATATGCAGTGGAAAATCCACGTTTTGTTTGCAATTCATTCTCATAATCCTTGCACTGCCAAAACAGAGCTTTATATCTCCCTCTCTCTCTTTATTCCTCTGGCAGGTTCAATGCACGTTGCACAAGCCAAATCTTTCTTTTATTCTGCGCCACTTATTTGTCGCCGCGTTTTTGGGTTCATTTGTTTCGGTTTCGTTGTCGGTTTGCAACGTGCCTGGCATATTTCAAGAGAGAATATCTTCAACCGTTCAACTTTATTGCACTCTTTCTGTTCATTTACATTTCGGTGGTCGCCAGACAGCCAGATTAATGGCCAGGCATATATCTGCCTCTATATGCGTATACTTATTTGGGGAGATGGGAATTTGTTCCATATCTTAGTACTGGCATCGTCATTAAAGCCTACAAGTTATTAGGAAAATGCGTGTGGTGCGATGGACCGAAAAAATACCCAAAATACCGAAAATACCAACACGTAAAAAACGAAAATTTATTGATGCACACTTCCGCAAAAAACAACCGCAAACGCCAGCCCAGACACCAAAGAGCAGCAGCAGCAGCAGCAACAACCACAGGAAGCAATATGCTGGAGCAATAGCAAAAGAACAACATTAAAAATTCATTGAACGTTGTATAGAGGAATGGCAGATACTCTACCTCTAAAGAAAGACATGAATGTCAGGCTCCCATTCATACAGAAAGTGGGAAAAATTCAAGCGAACAATCGCAGGAAGTCAACTTTTTTTTAAAATCCATAACATTAGAGTTCGATTTTTATTGCATCTCCAAACCCCAACCCATAGTCTTTATGCTCTCATGGCAAAGCCAAAGCAATTCGAAGGGCAAACATTTATAAAACACTTTTGGCCATTTCTCTTCATTAACTGCATACCAGGCGAGATGGCCAGCAGTACGGGGACGGAACCTCTTCCTTAACCATTTTCCTGCGCCCTTCGTACTCTTACTCATCTACGAGAATTTCGCTGTTCATTTGTGTGTGTGTGTGGGGGGTGTGAGTACTATAGCCGTAGGCCAACGAAGAAACCGCTTAATGAAGTTTTCTCGCCGAAAATTCTTGTCGGCCACTTGATTGTCGGACATGCTGTAATTGATGATGGGGAATGGGTGGAGTGGTGGCTTAGGAAGACGACTGGAGCAACGACACTTTTGACAAATCACTCAGACCAGAACCACTTCCAATTAAATTGCCTTCTTTTCTGGATCATCTTTTGTGTGTGTCAGCGGGTGCCAAAACGTGTTCTGTTACAGCCAGGGCCAGCAGAAGTGTGTTGCAATTAATTTATTTGTGATACCATACGATACGCCCACTTGGTCACACGAAACAGTATACGAATTCAGTAAACCTAAACATCAAATGTATTTCTCTATAAATAAAGTGAAATTATAAACCACAGAAAAAGTGTGAAAGAGATGCAGCAAAATGCAACGGCCTGTTAATAATTAATTGCATAAATAACCGCAAGTTAAACCTCACCCACGAGTGCCGACAGGCAACAGTAACTCGAACAATAGAAACAATGTTAATACAGTTGGTCAATCATTTGTAGCAGTAGAATATAAATAATAAGATATAGAGACCAGGTTGTTAGTCACAGATCACTGGGGGCAGTACGACTACGACTACGAGTACGAGTTGTATTCCACTTTTAATCGATACTCTTTGCTCATCAGTCATCAGAGCGGTGTGGTGCGGTGCGCTCGAGACACATAAGCCATAAGACAAATATTGAATTACAAGCAAATATTATTTTTCCTGCTTTTATTGTAGTTTTGCATTCAATGTTTGCTCGTGGCTGTCATGGTCCAATAAAGTTGGCACTGAAACAAGTTTTTCTGTCATTGTTTGTTGTGGCTTTAATTCTAGTTTTGTCGTATATCAAATAATGTGCAGTGTGTGCTGCAAAAAGGGTATATGAATGAAAAATTGAGATTGAAATTGAGTGAATTTTAATATGAAGTATCATATTAAGTATACGCAAAGGCATATTTTTTGCAGCTTTAAACCCATTCCCCAAATATACAGCGGTTTCTAATATTGTTGGACAGTTCTTTAGTTATTCATTTCTTACAGTCTTTAACCTCTTTTTGCTTCCTGGCATTGTGTAAAGATTTGTTTTGGCGACGGCCCCCCGAACGACATTATTATTTTTTTTGCAAACAGAGACTTTAATTATGGCACTCGGCCTGGTCCTACGCTGTCTGCACAGAATTGTATCCCTCTCCCACACAAAAACACACAGATACACACATATGTGAAGGGAAAAATTGTTGACTGTCATTATAGGGACTTCCCCGTGCCCGCGAGCTGGAGCTGAAGCTGGGGCTCGACTTTAAATTGCAGCGACATCATTAAAGCCTCTCAAGGCATGAGAATGCAAAAGGTGGATATGGATATGGAACAGCGGGGGAGAGAGATGCCTCAGC